AAAGATTCCGTACTTAAAAGGTTTTCTTAAAACATGCCATAACAATTAAAAGAAAAAAAAAGAACATAATCATAACTTATTACTCACAAAATAAACAATCCTTTAGGGGTGATTGTTTATGGGCTCAATTATTTTTTATTTGTTTTTTTTAATTATAGTTAATTTTTTAAAAAGGTGGTATGGTTAGTTGTTAGTAGATATATTAAAATAATATTTAAATAAAATAATTAAGGTTGATTTTAAGTAAAGTAGGAGAAAAATAATTGGAAGTGATGGTTAGTTAATTTTGTGAGTAGATGAATAGTGAATTAAAGCTGACTAGTACAATACCCTTGTACTATACGTGTAATTTTTAAGAAAATTATTTTTAAAATTAAATAATAATGTTAGCAGGTTAAACAAGTCAGGCCCCACGTCAAAACAAGGACCATGCATGACCACATGCAACAATTCCTTGTAATAGATTCTGAGCAACAATTCAAATTATTTTGTTTCTTGTGTAGTTGGTTTTGACAGCTCATCATAGTATCTTATTCTTATCTTATCCGGTTGCAGGTAGGTCTATTAGAGTTCATATAAATATGCTTGTAAGGCACCTTGTTTTATTCAAGAAATGAAAGCAAGTCTGCAGTTTTCCTTTTCCATTGTTAAACCCTAAAATAGCTAAGCAATCTCTTTAAGCTTTTTATGATGATTTGTTTTGTTTCCAACATGGTACCAGAGCAAAGATAACTTGCTTTGATACATCTGGTTCAAAATGTCTAACCAATCGACATCAAACGCTGGTCACAGCCCCCTCTCACCTACTCAACACGTATAACTCCAAAATCAATTAATTTCCAAGGCTTCTAGCCAAATTTAAACGTTTAATTGTGCCTTGAATGGGGATTAGTTTTGATGTGTGCTAGTTTTACCCTTGTCATTTCAAGTTAAGGATAACTCTAAGTCCAGAACTGATTCGAGAAAGCTCACAGATGCACTTGCTGAGCGTGTTGAGTGTGTTGATGTTCGAGAGACTGAACTTCATGGAAGAAATTGCTACCCCAAGCTCTAATGTGTTATTTTATAGATTAAAAAAAACATTATTTCTTTGGTTTGTCTCTTAGACTATGTAATGGATGAACCACTGGTATATCGAGATTTAAGACTATTTGAATTAGACTCTGAATTAAATATGTCGTAAAGCCTCGGGTAAACAAGGCAAAAATGATGTGTACTCATTATATGAGCATTTACCGTCTTTTTTGGTTATTTACCCCCTATCACCGTCTCTCCATATTCATTCCTCACAAAAGTTGTATGTGTAAAGTTTGGAAATTTGTTGTATCGGGTAACTTTTGGTGCCATAGTTGTACTCTTTTAAAAAATTGTTAATATTTTTTTTAGTCAATTTCCACTTCAAAAGTACACAAATTTTATTGAAAAATTTGGTTTGTTGTCTATTAGGTGAATTAATATTAAAGCATATTTTTGTTCAATCATTTATGGTTGAAAGAATTTCGTTTCTAATGAATCAAAAATTTTCATCCTGAATAGTTGAGAAAACAAAATGCTGGTACACACATGAGGCACGCAATAGGGTCGGAAAAATTCACGTTGCATAAGCAAAGTTTTGCAAGTCAGGATAAACACTGATTAGATCCATATCAGAGCAAAAACACGAGATCCTATGGGCAAACCTCTCAACAACTAAGGTACTTTTATTTGAAAATAAAAGCAGAAAAGGTACTTTTATTTGAAAACCTCTCAACAACTAAGGTACTTTTATTTAAAAATAAAAGCACAAATGGATGAGGCCTAGTCCTGGCCATGGGTGTGATCATCAGATGCTGGGCTAAGAGTAGGGAGAGCCAACAAGTTGTGGCTCATAGCTGATGGGCTGCAGTTGATGTTACTATTACTGTTTATTTTCTAATGATAACCCAAACTCATTACACTTACTGGCCCATTATAAGCACCGGTAATCTCCCACGCAGTTGAGCTTGCATTTGTTGACACCTGTATTCACAACAACCCATGCCAAATAACATGAGAAGATAATTTCAAATATTTAAATCAAGCACTATATTTATTTCTTAATAAGAATCCTCAAAATGAAATAAATTAACAAGAAAATTAATTTGACTTTAATAAATGTACATTCAACCCACCCTTAGAAGGCCATACAGATGAGGTGTTAATTTTAAAACTATAACAAGTATCAAGGCACAATAGTTGAGATATTGCTAAATAGATTCTTTTGGTGCTTTTAGCCTAAATTTCAAGACATTACTTTGGAATAATTGAAATAACCATGCTTTGATCCAATAGACAAAAAAAGAGTGATCTTTGAACTCACAAAACAACCTTCAAGCACCCACCTTTTGTAAGGACAGTCAATGAAGTTATATTTTAAAGCATCAACTAACTTTCAATTAAACAGAACACAAGATATAGGTATTTCCGTAAAAATAAAGCATAAAAAATCAAGCTACTCACGAATGATACATCATTAGGCTTTGCTGGAGCACTGTTGAGGTTGACCAAAGAAGCATGCTCGAAACCTGACCCTGCTGGCATAGTCACCTTAACCGCACGTTTCTTGGCCAACGGTTTCACGACCAGTTGATGTGGGGCTAGACCAGAAGACGAGTTGACCGAATGAGGGGGCGGGAAAGTCCCCTGTGGCTTGCAAAACTGTTGTAGTACAAATTATTATTTTTACCGAATATCGAATCGAAAGATTCGTTCCCCGGGTCGATCTCACAAGAAAGGCGGTTCGGAATTTAGAAATGGTATCGATCACACACAAAAGAAAATCAAATCCTAAACATTCTAATCAGATAGCAGTTGGATGAATTATTACCTAAAAAATAATAAAAAGCATGAATCTACCTAAAAAGATAAAAACGAAACAAAGATAGAGAAGCTAGGGAATTGAAGACAATTAATTCAATTTCTAGCAAAACCGGGCAATTCATTGTTCGGTACAAGATCGACACTCTCGCTTAAGCATCTAGCGGTTCTCTCTCAATAACTCTTCGTAACAAGGGATTGAACATAGACGAGCAAGCTCGAGCATACAACACAAGTCAATTAACCAAATCCCAATAACTTTTCGTAACAAGGTATGGGTCATCGACAAGCACGTATTTCAATCCAAAATACATAGATCATTCAGCTACGAAATCATCTATCTCATGCGAGCCTAGGTCTACGACTTTCTTCCCTTTCGGTTCAAAAAGTCGTTAATTTAACTAGAAGGTGTTTAATCAACTAATCATTAGAATCAATAAAACCAAACTCGACAATTCAATATCCATTTATTACCAACTGCAAGATCGAAGTTTCACCATTCGATTACATCAAACTATCGAGCACAATTTCATCAAATCCTAATCAATTCAACTCACATAAGCATGAACAAATCAAGCCCGGCAAATGCAGGTTAAACAAGAACAATCATACCCTATCCCTAGCAATCAGATTTAGCTATGAATATCAAATTCAACACACATTATCATTGTTCTCAAATCAATTAATCATTATTCATGAATTAATAAAGAGAAAAAAAACGTACAGTCAATCCAAGTTCCAAAGTTGAATTTGAAATACAAGCTTAAACCCTAACTGAGATGAAGAAGAAGAAAAATGGAAAATAATGGTGAAAAGAAGAAGAAGAAAAAGAACGAAGAAGAAGAAGAAGGAAGGGAATAAAAGGAGATTTTGTGTTTTTCCCGACCTAGGGTTTTCACCACGGAAGGTGAGAATTTTTTTTTGTCGTGTCTCGTCCGTTTATTTATATGAATCTCATGTCGCGGCGTGGGAGAAAACAAATCACGGCGCGAGGAGCTGCTGGTGCCGCGGCGCGACGGCTGCTGCGACGCGTCGAGCTGGAGTGCCACGGCGCGACGGCTGCTGCGGTGCGACGGCTGGGAAAACGCATAGCAGGTGCCGCGGCGCGACGGAGTGGGGTGCCGCGGCGCGATGGGAAAGCAATGATGCTCTAATGATGTCGTGGGAGCGTCGCGGCACGGCACCTGGGAGTCCCGTGGTCTACGTCGCTTGACTTCGCGTCTCAGGCTCGTGTACGCTCGTTTGGACTCGAAATTCGATCCGGTTTTCTCTTGTGTAATGTTAACGAACTCCTCTATATAATTACGCTTGCTCGAATAATATTTTCATGAAAGACTATCATCTCGAGACTTCCAACCTGCACATCAACGACGAAGAAAAACCGGAAATAACTGAAAAACACATAGAAAACTAAAATAGAGCAAAAATGCAATAAACTACAAAACGACCTAAAAACTAACGAAATGACCTAAAACGGGGGCAAAAGAAAGACAAAACAAGAAAGAAAAAAGCAACAAAAATGAGACAAACAAAAACCTGAAATCACTGTTCATGTTTGTTGCCTTTTTTGCTGCAACATTTGATGTTGGCTGGCTACTTTTGTTTTGGTTATTCACAATCTCCGGTAAGGTTCTTATAGTGTCTGTTGGGGCCAATGATGATGGGTGGTCCTCTGTTGCTCTTTTTTTGGCCGTGTTAGAGTGTGATGGACTTGGCTGTGCTTTCCTGTATTTCATACTCATGTAACAAAAATGTCAAATAAAGCAACAAGCTGTTACCGCAAATGAAAAGCATAAATCCATCACAAGAACTTTAAGTCCCTTTGTCAAGTAAATACACATTAATGATGTCCAAAAGCATTTTGTATTTTACATGTATCTCTTTCACAAAATCCGAGATGAACACAAGGTGTTCCTTGTGTAAATATTAACTATACAACATAACAAATTATCTCTCCAACTTGGACACTGCCAATGTCGGTTTTTGAGGAGTCCAATGAAGTGGCAAGCTGGTTCAGCATTTGAATAATGTCCGAACGACTCCGTGCTTTGTGTTGGCTTGATTTTCTTCTTCCCAACTCCTTTTTGATGCTGAAAGCTTTTTAATTTCCCTGCAAACATGAGAACATTCTAAAATATATGTTATTATATAATATAATAAAAAAATTTAGGCTAAAGTACATTAAAAAAATATAATAAAACAAAAGTAGTGTATTTACTATTTACATGACCTTTCAGCAGACCAACGGAGTTTTGGATCTCTCGGAATAAGTGCTGCCTCCACCTTTCAGAACCAGAGGATGCTGGTAAATCATTGATCACAGACGCAGACCAACGGTATTATTCTTTAGATCTCCCGGAAGTAGTGTGATCAATCTCTTAATAATCACCGCATCGAATGCGTCTCTTCGTCTGTACCAATGATTTTCCAGCATCCTCTGGTTCTGAATATGAAAACATGAATAGGGTTTCCGCAGTTAAAAACTAATGAACTCAACGGGAAGTTAAAAACTAGTGTGTCGTCATGTCGCAGTGGATCAATATCAGAGAGAGATCGGATTACATCGGCAAAGATTGAAACAGATTGGAGAGTTGTTCATATTTGCATTTTAATTAAGTAATAATAATATTTACTCCAAACCTATTTACCTGGTGTATGGTAAGTTGTTCATATTTGCATTTCAATTTAAGTGGTTGAGGAATGTTTCTAGCTTCTTCCGAGTTGTTTTGCATAATCAAGGTGAAGAAGGTGAAGAACATTCCTGAAATTGTTTGAATGATACCGCAAATAGTTCTCATATATATATATATATATATACATATATATATATATTTTCCTTTAATGATGTAGGCTTTCAAGGGCTTGTATGAAAATGCATCCAACAGTGCTCATGTTAATTCTTACCTTGCTATCCTGGCTGCTATTCATATTGTTAGCAAGCTTGTAGTTAAGGAACTCACTAGCTGGGTATGGCAAACTGCTTAAATAAGTTTTATATATTTTATTTTTTATACAAATTATTATATTTGGATCAATTATACTACACAATGGTTGTAAGATATATGTCATGAATAAATATTTTGAACTTTGTTAGTGAACACTTTTGAAATTTGTTTGTAAACATGTTCAGTTTTGAGGAGCAAATGATGTGGTCAATTAATACATATTTGCAATGCCGTACGCGATTTCTATTTCATGTTTATATGAGTTTGAGATGTAAAGGGTGTCAGGTTCCTCGAAACAAATGTGGGTAGTTTGGCTCTTGAAGATACAATATTCGGTTGTGGTTTGGGTAGTATAGGATCACAGTGCCTCTGAAGCTGTAGTTCCAGTTATGGTTTTTTATATTGTGACCCTGAATTCCTTGTAGTTCCAGTATGCTTTTGAAATTTCACGATGTACAGCTTTTTGCATGCGTAGGGCTGTGGGGGAGTAGTACCCAATCACTATTCATGAAATCTTAAGTATGAAGTTTTATGAGGTGAGAACCTGGCCCATTGCAAGGAGATTGTTGTTTACCATTTTCTGTTCTTGAACTGTTTTTTAACAGGTGATTTACTCCGAGGAAGATAGAAAGTACAATGAAGACATCCCTATTGGTCTTATTTGGAGTGGACTATTGTACCTTGCCGAGTATAATGTACATATGGCGATGCTTCTTGACTCTGGAAGAAACAGTACGTGTCACAAAGTTTGTGTTCAATTTTTTGATTGGATATATTAACGTGCCGCTGTTTACAATGTGCAGAGCCTGCAACAGAATTTGCCATCTCTCTTATACAAACATTAGTTGTCAATGATTCCAAAGTGATATCAGAACTACACTATCTTGTAGATGCTCTGGCAAAGGCACGATCTTATGTCTCACATATTTGTGTTTTCTTTTCTTCCCATAGTTAATGTGTGTGTGTATGTTTTCAATGATAAAGGTGGTTTTTAATTTCTCAGCTTGCTGCAAGACCTGGATCTCCAGAGTCGTTACAACAGCTGGTTGAAATTGTGAAGAACCCAGCTAATGCCGCCACTTTGTCTTCTCTAACTGTTGGGAAAGAGGACTCGACGAAAACCTCTAAGGAAAAAATGGTATTGGAACTTGGAAGTGTTTTCCTTTTTCCTTTTTTTTCTATTGTTTCATCTCTTGGTATTTGCTTGCATATCTTCATTGGCTTTGTCTCAATATCTGAAGTAAAGCCTTAATTTATCTGGAACAGGTTACCGTGGTGGCTCCTGCAGCAAGCTGGGAAGAGTACAATGCATCAGAATTGGTGGATTCAGATCTTGCAGGTTTTCACGAGCAGGTCCTAAATTTGACCTGGCCCTTTGTTTACTAATTTTGATGTTCTTAATTAACAATAGAAAGTTGAAATCAAGTTGAAATTGTAGAGTATGTCACTGTTTACGTAAAAGATACTTTTCAGGGTTCTCACTTGATAATTCTTGCTTATAAGAAGCTAAAGAGTTTATGTTGGGTATGCATTTTTATTATTTCTCATCATATTTGTTGTCATCTTATCTTCATGTGCTGCATATAGGTTTCTGTGCTGTATGCTGGATGGTACCAAATATGTGAACTCCCTGGTGCTAACGATGCTGCTTCTGCTCATTATGTTTTTACACTTACAACAGAGAGGCCTGCTAAAAGGAGATGAAACTTCAGATCATTTTTTCCGCCGTATAATGGTAAAGCTCCTTTTCGCTCAAAACACCTTATATAAATAAATGGTTGCCTGTGGAATATTGAATTTATGGTTTGGTTCAACAAATCAGGAACTTTCGCTATCGCATTGTTTATCATATGAGGCGATAAATTCTAGCCCTTCCCAGTCACATCAGGGACAGCCACTCTCGTTCCTAGCTATTGATATATATGCGAAGTTAGTTTTCTCAGTTCTGAATGTAGGCATTGTTTAATTGGCCTTCCCACAACATTTTTGTGGTTATTCGATATTTCATTCTTTATCTCTTCACTTTTACCCCATAGATCATCTGACTTCTCTTCAATTTTGTATCATCTGATTCTGGGATCTTTCCAGTTTTGCCCTGTAGACCAGGGATCCAATAAGCTCTCTCTTCTGCCCAAGGTATGAATTCAATTTCTAAACCTTCAGGCCTTTCTGTTTGATGGTTAGTATATCACGTTGTGGTCTATGTTTCTTTTTAGGTGCTTCCTTGACCGTGAAATTTATCCACAAAGATGCCGAGGAGAAGATTGCCTTCAATCCCAGGCCGTATTTTAGATTGTTTATTAATTGGCTGCTTGATTTGTGTTCGTTGGAGCCGGTTTTTGATGGTGCCAACTTTCAGGTATATGCTGCAGTTTGGTTATAATTTTATGTAATCTTTATATTATTTTCAGTTTGTGAGGACATGTTTATCTCAGTATTTGCTTCAGTTTTTTATCTGCCTTTCTTACAAGCAATCCATTTCAAACCTTTCAGATGTTGACTGCTGTAGCAAACTCTTTCCATGCCATTCAACCTCTCAAGGTCCTAGGGTTTAGGTTTGTGCTTGACTAGTACACTTTTTTTTTTTTCTTTATAAATATATTTCCGGCCTATTCACTACACCGTAACTCCATTTTTTATATTTATTATTAACTTTTCTGAACAATCAGTTACAATGGAGTCTGTATCTTTACTTTTTGCCACATCATATGTGAATATTTTAACGACCAACTTTTCTCGTAGCTTTCAGCTTTGCATGGCTTGAATTGGTAAGTCACCGAAGTTTCATGCCAAAATTACTGACAGCAAATGCACAGAAGGGATGGCCCTATTCCTAGAGATTGTTGGTAGACCTTTTTCAGTTTATGGAGCCATTCCTTAGGAATGCTGAACTCGGAGAGCCGGTCAGTAACTAGTTTATTCAATTTTCCTTGTTTCTGAAAAGCTTTTCTTTGTTCTGCTTGATTTAGTCAATTTACTGTCTTTTGTGAATCTATTTTAGGTTCACATTCTGTACAAAGGGACGCTCAGAGTATCGTTGGTGCTGCTTCATGATTTTTCGGAATTCCTTTGTGATTATCATTTCAGTTTTGTGATATCATCCCCCCCAAGATGCATACAGATGCGAAATATAATCTTGAGCGCGTTTCCTCGCAATATGAGGCTTCCTGATCCTTCAACTCCCAACTTAAAGGTACGTAGACTCAAAATATGTACGTATGTCTTGGTCTATAAAATTTTAAAGCTGGAAAGTAATTGATTTATTTATGTGATAATTTATATTGATCTGCTGGCGGAGATTAGTCAATCGCCTAGAATATTTCTGAGGTTGATGCCGCTCTAAAAGCGAACCAAATTAAGAATGAAGTGGATAAGTATCTCAAGGTGAACAGTAATGAAATCCAAATTATTATCTTTTTTTTTTTTTTTTTTTTCTCTTTGAGCAGGGGAACAAAATGGAAATCCTTTTACCTTGTGGGAGGAGAAAAGTCTAGATTTTAGTGACTATTTATCAATTTTGAAGAGCTTTTGTTTTGTTTTTCTGTCACTTGGCTTTATCAATCTTGATTTAATTTTCCTTTGCTTGTATGACCTCTATATTACAGACGAGGCAACAAGGGTCGTTGTTTCTTTCCGAGTTGAAACAGAAGCTACTGCTTTCTCCAATTGACGCAGCTCGCTCGGACCCGCTTCAATGTCCCTCTGATCAACTCACTTGTACTAGATGTCGGAATGCAGGTAAGTCATTTCCCAAAATATAGTTCTTTTTATCACTTTTGACTAGATAATTTTTTTAAGTCAAAATCTGACTCAAATTTAAGTCAATCCAACCCTCGATATTTTCAATATAATTAAATAATACCAATCAATCATTCTTACACGTCACATCAACTTTAATTCACTATTCATCCACATCATAAATTTAACAACTCATCACTTCAATAATGTCTCTCCTACTTTTACATCAAATCAACTTTAGTCATTATATTTTAAATGTTATTTTAATACAAACTCAAAATCTCATTCAAACCTAACACAATATCGAACAAATCAAATCAAAACCAAAATAAGTTATATCCAATCACCCCCTTAGTCTTTTAAAAAAAAAAAAAAAAAATATGATTATCAGCCAAATAATAATGAAAATAGAGCTTTATCCTTTAGCATTCTTAACTATCCTTCTAAACTCTATCTAGGCTAATCAGCAGCTGCAAGCAAGAGCCCCTTCTCAATCCATGGCAAATATGACGCCTTCTTAGTCAGTGCTGCTTTGGACATTTTCCAGGCATTGATTATGGATCTTGACACTGAGGGCCGCTACCTTTTCCTTAATGTTGTTGACAAACCAATTATGTTATCCGAACAACCATACCCATTACTTCTCTTTCATCCTCCTTTACCTGTTCTCTGAATCGAACCAGGTACATGCACATATACTTCTTTTACGGTTGTGCTAAATTTCCTCAAACCAACATGACATCATTTTTTTTTTCGTCATATGTTCATTTACGTATATGATTAATGACCTGACTATATCGGTTTTAAAATTTTGAGAAGGAAATAATTCAGGTGCAAATCACGAGGGTCCTGCTGAACGCCTGATAGTGAATAGAACTCATCCTTGGGGACTTTTGATAACATTTATTGAGAAGCTGTTTGATTCTGTTCCGAGATCCTGCGGAGGTCCCAAACCTGTAGATGATAGTGTTGTGTCAGGTGGAATCGCTGAGAATATGCATTAGACTTGTTTGTCGCTGTAAGATATTTGATTGAGACAAATTAATTTGTTGTAAATGGTAAATACATAACTGTTGATTGGCCAATACTAGTGTGCTTTTATACTTATACCATCTGTATATATTCCATTTCACAAGAGTGCTTATTTATTCAAGACAAACGATTGACACTTGTGGTGACTACTACCAAGCCACTATTAGTAGAGCCCGGTAAATAAAACGAGCCACTCGTGACCTCGGCTCGGCTCGGCTCGTTGTGACTTGAGTTCGGCTCGACTCTTTTAATTATTACTGTATATCCCATTTAACAATAGAGTGCTTATTTTTATAGTAGAGATTTCTCCTTTTTTTTTTTTGGTCGTTACAAGTATACGGTGCGAAATGGGTTCTGCCAAACCTGGGAAAATGTTGTGTTAATTTTCAGAGAAAGAGAAAGAAGATCTCCTAAGCCTAGGAAAATGCTGCCATAAAAGGATGATCATCAACTCTAATTCAAACTGCGACATTTTGTTTTTCTCGCAGAGGAACACAAAAATAAAATAAAAAAATGCTACACCTTGATATCCAAAAAACAGTTCATAATAAATAACTTTGTTATTGAGTCTGGGGAAAAGACTGATATCCACAACTGAAATGTCACGTGTAAATGATAAATGGCATTCACGTTCAATTGGGGAAAAACAAGGCATACATACTCGGTCCACTTGAGTTTATTTACATATGTGGAAAATGTTGAAGCATGCTTTAGTCTTGTTGATGTATTGCTGCCGAGACATGTCCTTGTTGATAGTGTACCTTTTCTAGAGTTTAAGTGTTAATGTGGTCTTAGAATTAGATGCTGAAATTTGTTGTCCTAATGCTGGTGTTGTGTGCTTTACTTGCTCTTTCTACTTTATTTGGTTGTGTGGCTTAATCAATTGAATCAAAACCCTTCATAATAATTTAATCCATAATTGTTAGGTTTCAGAGGAGTCGAGTCCTCGAACCTACCGTGAGCTTTTACATAATTGTCAATGTCGGACCAGGTGGGTTATTCTAAATTCTTATGCCATAAATTGTTTATATATGCTAGACGGTATGATCATTGTATGCATGTGAACCATGTAATCTTCTATGTGTGCCGTTTCGGCCATCGAACAGTCATCCTTGCCGATGTAATACGGGCCTAATGAGAGCAGTCTCCCTAAGACCCATTGTGGGCCATGTCGTTGTAAGACACATGGCGAGGCCTTCGACATGTACTCCTACTGTTTGGGTGTCGTTATAAGACACATGGCGAGGCTTTCGACAGCTAATAAGACCATCAGTAGCTAATGAAAGATGTGCACATGAGTATTAAATGATTAGGAGATGTGATATTATGATTGATTCATGTTCATGCTGCGACCATATCCATCTGTCTTTATATATAATTTATGTGCATAATAGTGAGCAAGTGGTTGTGCTCACTCCCATGTCCCCCCCACCTTTCAGGTTGAGCTGCTGGCATGGCAAAGGAGGACGAATGGCTGGTCATTTACTGCTTTATGTTAAGAACTATTTTGCTTCCGCTATGATTGATGAACCTTGTTTCGGGATACTTGAGCATGATGATATGTTAAAATTTATGATGTATTGAACTTATTTTCGAAACATGAACATGATGATGTTTTGAACCATGATAATATTTCTGACCGGGATTGTTATTGATTATGAGCATGATGATGTTATTTCTTGGATCGCCATTGTTTACGAGATTATTGAGTTGTTATGTTATCTCGTATTTATGATGTAGAAATTGGGTAATGAATTCCCGAAGGCTCAGATATGGCTTGAGCTGGCTATGTGATATATGTGATTGGACAATAAGTTCCTACGTGATTATCGATGATATGCTTATGATGTTTAGGATAATGAAATCATATTTACTATTTTGGGTAATGAAGTCCCGTGTGCTCTAATATGGCTTGAGTCTATTATGATGATGTTTATGATAATGAATGAAGTAATGCCAACAAATATTTTAAATCGAAAAATGAATTTCGAAAATTTAACCTTGATTTTTAGAAAAGTCCAGAAATTTCTTTAAAAATCATTGGGGTGTTACAGTCGACGGGACCGTCGATGGCGGCGGAAGAAACGAGTGTGTGTAAGTGTGTGTTTCTGTGTGTTCAGCCATGTGTGTATGTGTGTGCGTGTGGTGTGTGTATGTGT